CAGGTCGGCATTGCCACTTCCGACGAGAAGGGAAAGTGAGCCACGCGCCTTGTTAGACCGAGTAGGTTGGCACTGCCGCCTCCGGTGTTTCTAAAGACCAGTTAGGATTGGCCTCGCCACCACTGGCACTCTGCGATGCTGGCGTGGGGGTCGCTTGGAGGCTATTAGCCCGGTCGTCCAATGCGCTTTTCCACCTCGAGCAGGTCGGCATTGCCACCCCCGACGAGAAGGGAAAGTGAGCCACGCGCCTTGTTAGACCGAGTAGGTTGGCACTGCCGCTCCGGTGTTTCTAAAGACCAGTTAGGTTGGCTTCTCCACCACTGGCACTCTATGACCGGTTAGGTCGGCATTGCCACCACCGGGGCTATGAGTCCGGTTATACCGATTGATACCGTTTCTCAGCGATGTATTTCGCTTCTTAGCGATGCCGCGTTTTAGCGATGTTGTTTCCGCTTTTAGGCGATGCCGCGCGATGTATTTATTCCGCCTCTTAGCGATGCCGCGTTTTAGCGATGTTGTTTTCGCTTTTAGGCGATGCCGCGCGATGTATTTATTCCGCCTCTTAGCGATGCCGTGCAATGTATTTATTCCGCCTCTTAGCGATGCCGCGTTTTAGCGATGTTGTTTCCGCTTTTAGGCGATGCCGCGCGATGTATTTATTCCGCCTCTTAGCGATGCCGTGTTTTAGCGATGTTGTTTCCACTTTTAGGCGATGCCGCGCGATGTATTTATTCCGCCTCTTAACGATGTCGCGTTTTAGCGATGTTGTTTCCGCTTTTAGGCGATGCCGCGCGATGTATTTATCCCGCTTCTTAGCGATGCCGCTTTTTCAGCGATGTATATACCGCCTTTGGGCGATGCCGCGCGATGTATTTATCCCGCTTCTTAGCGATGCCGCTTTTCAGCGATGTGTTTACCGCCTTTTGGCGATGCCGCTTTTTAGCGATGTGTTTACCTTTTGTGCGATGCTTTACCGCTTTTTTAGCGATGTGTGTATGTACCGCTCATTAGCGATATCGTTCCCGATCGTCGACGTAGTAGTTGTAGCCGGGTGTACTCGCACCGCGGACCCGGTCGAGGCATTTCCCGACCACGATGTCGTTTCCCGATAAGCAACCCGTCGTATCCACTCCCTTGTGCTGACGATTCTCGCACCTACGGGAGTGGGGGCTGCGCCAGCCCGAGTAGCACGTTCGTCGGTCAAAACGGTCGAGTCACGTTCAGTTCGCCCGCGTAATGTTTCGCCTGGCTAGTTTCAATCTCTCGATCGTAAGCAGATCTGACCCTGTAGTTGGTTAAATAGATTTCCGGATCCCAGTCGTGCCCGGCAATCCGGTCTTTGAACCGGTTGGGCTCGACCTTTCGCAAGTTGCGTTGAAGTCCGACCACTTGGTCGGGCGCTCCCTTTCGGTCCATTAGACCGTGTTTAGCGTTGTACTCTTTTTCCCTTGGCTAAAGTTTTTCCCACTGGGTTTTTTGATTAGCCTAAGGTTTTTTAATGAGGCAACCGGCATATGTCACGGACCGTGTAACCGGTTTTTCCAGCCCGAACCCTTCCTCGTTAGCTCGTCGTCAGGGCACGGGCTGTGGGGGCTTTATGATAAGTTATATACCCCGGGTCCGTGCCATCGCTTACAGTCGGGTTCGGGTCTTGGCCTACGGGTCGGGGTCAAAGGTGACGGGTCAAACCCGAGATGGGTCAAACCCGCCACCTCGGTGGCCCTATAAAAGGGCTTCTAGCCCTCTAAGTGAGGGGAGGCCATTTTGGGCCATCTTTCGGCTCTCTCTCTTAAACTATTTATTCTCCTCCTTCTCTCTACATTGATATACAAGCACAACATTAATAAAGGAGGGATTTGAGCTATTTTTCTTGTGTTCTTCCTCTTGTTCATACATATATTTTATATATTTAGTACATATAACCGACATCCGGGTGAATTAGTACTATCAAATATATTATATAATCATATAAAAAAATGTGTTCAATTAGAGTTTAAATTTACTCCTATAAAATTTGAAATTTGCTTTCTAAATGTAATTATCTTAGTTATTATTTGTATTGTGAAAATTATAATATAGATGAAATACAATTAAGAATAAATCAATGTAAATATGTAAATTCTCTTATAAGTTTATTAACTTTATTTGAATATGTAAATAATTAGATATTATATTAACCATACAAAATTTTAATTTTAATTTTAATTTTAATTTTAATTTTAAATTTGTGTTCTATAAAAATAATAAATACTTGACCAATGGAAGCTCAAAAATATTATTATATTAAACAATTTAAAATATTTTTATTTTTTCTATTTTTTTTTATCTATATTTATAATAACATAATAATTGTAACATTAATTACTTCCCAAACCATATAGCTTTATTATAGTTAAGATTGAACGGATCATATAAAATTTAAAAATATATATGATGAGATTTCATAATTATCACCTACTTTTAAAAAATCAATAAAAATATATATATATATATATTAAACATAAATTGTAAATGCTAAATCTTAAGTAATAATTAGTAACTAAGAATATGTGGTTTGGTACCCGACTTGGACTTCCATTTGGAAGACTGTGAGTTCGAGCCTCAGTGGAGGCGTTATTGGTTCTTTGTGTTTCAGATACTACATTGTAATAGAGCCAGTAGCATAAAAAAAAAGTAATAATTAGTAAACCCCTAAACCATTCTTTGTGTTTCAGATACTACATTGTAATAGAGCCAGTAGCATAAAAAAAAGTAATAATTAGTAAACCCCTAAACCAAATAAAAACCTTATTAGTTGGCGGATCCATTACTTTCGATATTTTGACCAAGTCAGCATTGTTTAGGCTTGGCAGATTGGGAATGGATAAACACCCACTACTAAAAATTAGTTTTTTTTTTTTTTTTTTTTTTTTTTTTTAAATTAACTTCTGTTTTAGGAGCTTGGGGCTCTTTTATTAAAGCCTCAAGCTCCTTTAGTAAAGGAGTCTGATGAGGCTCCTCTTCCCTTTCCCATCCGAAGTGGGATAGGCAAGCGGTTAAAGTGAAACAATGGACGGGCACTAATTTTGTTTTTATTATTATTATTATTATTATTATTATTATTATTATTATTATTTATACGATTTAGGTCATTTAAATGTTAATCGTTAACTTAAACAATAAATTTTATCAAATATCTTTTACAAACCGCTGATACAATTCACTAATCAAACCTGCTAATACAATTCGTTATTCGTTAACTGTTGATTGTCAAATAATGCCAAAATAAAAAAGCTCAGTCATAAATTCTAAAATTCAAACCCTAACCGTGCATTGCACTTTCGCACTTTTTGTAAAGTGCAATTTTCAATACTAAACTTGCACTTTTTAATACTTAACCATGCACTTTGTAACAACTAAATGTGCATTTTTTGGAATATAGTGACATTTTGCAAAGTGCAATTTCAAATACTATACTTGCACTTTCTAATACCTAACCGTGTAGTTTGTAACAAGAAAATGTGCATTCATGGAAAATTTTGAGAATGCAGAGTATAGTGTTAAAAGTTGCACATAAAGTTAGTGATAATTACGAAAATCTTACTGCATTTTTTTTAAAAAATTTGATCTGATCTATTCGATTTTTTTAGATGTTAGATTGAGATTGGTTTTGATTTTAGCATTGTTTGGCAATCAGCAGTTAGCGAATAACGGATTGTATTAGTCGATTTGACTAGCGAATTGTATAAGCGGTTTGTAAAATGATATTTGGTAAACGTAGCTGCTTAAGTTAGCGATTAACATGTAAAATAACCTAAAGGGTATAACAATAACAATAACAATAACATCCTTGCATTTCTGCCGCCCCATTCGTTAATTGTGACTAAGCTCTCCCCATTTGAGTAATTTCCCACGTTAAGTGGGTGATAGGAACCAAGGAGCTGAGAAAATGGGAATCGCCTATTTGTTAATTGTGACTAAGCTCTCTCCCCATTTGAGTAATTTCCCACATTAAGTGGGTGATAGGAAAGGGGTAAGGAGCTGAGAAAATGAAAAACACCCACCGTGGGGCTTGAATCCATGACCACAAAGTTAAAGCCTTACGCTCTACCCACTGAGCTAGACAGGCTTATTGTTTAAAATTTAACTATTGTTTCTATCATTCTTTACAACAATTGGATTAGTTCATAAGCAAAAATTGTTGTTATTCAAAGTTTAACTAATTTTACCATCATTCTTTACAGCAATTGGATTAGTTCCCAATTCCTAACCAGCTTAACTGCAATCCCACCTTTGCTTTCCTCAAGCTATACCATAAAACCTCCAACATCCATAACAATGGATCAACAAGGTAATATTTAAATAAAAAAGCATGCATTAAATACTCCGTTGGACCTACATCATTAATAGAGTAATATTTATTATTTACAGTTAGGGTTTTAAGTTTATTCTCCAAACATGTGATCATTAATGTTTGTTTAAAATGAAGTGCAACATATTAAAAGATCTAAAAAAAGAAGAAGATAATTTTACTATTCTATTGAAAGTAAACACTTAAGCACATTCAACATCTACTAGTAAAGCATGAATTAGTCATAGTGAAGGTTCCTCTTATGATAGTGATGATATATTCATTTGACGGTGTTTCCTAAAGAATCAAACCACCCGAAGAATTAGAGGATGTTGTGTTTGATAACCGGAGTATTAGATGATGGTGTGTTCAACTAAAGAATGACCACCACCAGCCGCCACTACTACTACTACTAAAAAAGTGTCTAGCATAGTCTAATTTTAAAAAAGAGCTTTTGTACTTAAAGGAGTAATTCAACTTCTTTAGGAAAAATGAAAAAAAAAAAAAAAAAAAAAAAAAAAAAAAAAAAAAAAAAAAAGAGCTGTTAAGCATCAAGCCAGTCTAAAGAATAGTTTTGGACTGAGGTATAAAATAGAAGTTGTTAAGGAAGATGGGTATTCTTTATGTATGCATTTTAAATTCAAAGACAACAGAGTATGCTGAGCTGCTGAGATGGAAATAGAGATTAAGTGGAATAATAGAATAATCATTTTAAGGATACAGATGTAGGTGAAACTGCAGATCGAAAGCTGTTTGTTTCACTTCTACTGCGAGTTTTTAAGAGAAAGAAAAAATGAAAAAGAAGGATAAAAAGAGGTATTCAATTCAGGAGAATTATATATAATTACTTACCCCACTAGAGCCTAGAGGAAGAACCAGTAAGACTTTAACAATCTTAATCTTAACTTTAATTTTTGTGGAAACCAGTCAGTCTCAACTCTCATCATAACACCAAATGATCTCATATATATCCACCCAACTTACCATGACAGTTAGACGTTATCTTGGTTAGTAGATATGATGAGATTCTGAAGGATTATATCCGTCCTCGAACTCATTGCATGCGCAAATTAAAGCAGAAAGAAGCTGAGATCGAGGACGGATCTAAATTACGCTAGCTCAATTCTGTCTCTCTCTGTGAGCTAGGACTCTTACGATGGTGTGATTTTTGGTGAATGTTTTGTACTGGAGCTGTGAGAAAAATCTTCTTTATACGCTGCTTCTCGATCATCATGCTTCCTCCGTTTGCTTAGCTTGTATTTGTATAGGTACTGCATGCTTTGTAGCCTGTCTGGACTTCTAGAACAATTAATATATATAATCCCGCTTGCTACGCCCATTATATTTTTCCCAACACGTACTTGTAGTATCTGCAACTACAGTTCCACGAGAGTGATATATGAGATCTATCTATCTCGAGTGCTCGAGTCATCTAGATCGAAGCTTGTGCCTCTTATCCTTTTAATTTGTTAAGCAATCAACTCCACCTGCTTAGCTTAGCTTGCCTAATATCCTCCATGTATTCCTCTCTCTATTATATCCCTCATAACCTAACAGATATGCATGGGTATAGTATAACCCACAGGAAAGGAAAGGAAATGAAATGAATCCATGAGAATAGATCAGAGCAAAGGAATTAGACAAAAATTAAGATCGATATGATGAACAAATTAAACACGAGGAATTGAAGTTCAGTAGCCTTAATATAATGCAGGACCAGTAGCCATGGGAAATTTTGGCATGATTGAGACTCCAAACTTTAATTCAAGTATTACCTGGCCTGCCCGGGTAGTCGATCGCTTCACTTTCTTGCCACGATATCACATTCGTCTGCGCTTAGCTTGTAATCCCTTAGCTTTCCTCAGCTAGCTAACAATTCCTCTCTCATCTTGTCTTCATTTTAATTATTTGTTTCCTGGTAATAACGAGTAGAATGAAATTAGAAAAATGAGTAATAGATGTACATTCTACACCGTACAGACTTTAATTTGTTTATAACATCAATAGTGTAAGAAAAAATTACAGAGATCATTTGGCTTTCTTTCTGCTTTTGCTATTCTGGTTTTATTGGTTCCAAACCAAGGTGGATAAGTTTATTACTCCGATCCATACAAGCTTAATCCACAGGACTAAGAGAAATGCTGAACATTATTTGAAATAAATGCTATTGCAATATCGAGTGTATTTAACCCTGCAGTATTGTCATTATGAAAGGGTGCACATAACATTATGTTTACCAATGCATGCGTAAGCGCAAAGAAATGAAATACGGAACCAAAATGTAAGATAAGGCAAGCAAATGTCTAAATTAAGCAAGTCCAAATCTTCTAAGTACTCCGGCCTAATTCATGCATACCATCTATCATTTCCACACATAATCTGATGCATAATGCCATTGCAATAAAATGTTCTGAAATCACCAAGCTATATATAAACAAGCTAGGATGTGAATATACCGTTGGGATATAGAAACTGGCCCACTCCTGCAGCTTTCTCATCTTTCCTTCCAGTATTGATCGATCTTTCGTGCAATATAATTGCTGCTGCTACTTGAGAAACAGAAACCATTGCATGCTTTTACCGAGTGTTCGTTCCACCTTAGCTTCTACATCATTTCCCTTCTTCTCCTTTCTACTTTCCAGTGGCTCCTCGATCATGTTCTTTGTTGACTTCATTTAATTCTCGTAACAGTGTAGCTCGCTTGTTGAAGTCCAGAAAATAAAGAGGATTTCAATGCATAATCCAAGATGCATTGCCTTGCCTTATTACAATGTTGATTGCAAATAATCTTCCATCAGTTTATTCACTCCAAGGGAGACATTCCATCCTTCAAGGATACTCCGGTTTCCTTGATGATTTGGAAGATGTGGATCCCTAGCTTTTGATCATCAAGGCCCTTCGTACCTTCAGTGTACTTGGACAGAATTTCATTTCTTTTCTTCTTCCTTTCTTCCTCTTCAACCCTTCTTCTTTTCTGCCTTTCTTCTTATTCCTTCTCGGCCTCCTGTCTTTTCCTCTTCTTTCTTTCCTCATTTTTCATCTTTATATATTGCAGCTTTTTGTTTTGATCCCAGTTTTTACACTTGGGAGGCAGATTTTGTAGACTATAAGCTTCATTTGGGAGAGGAGGGATGTCCGCGAAGTCAACAAATTGGAGTCCTTCCCTTGCCCTATCTTCCCCCTTTTTGGCATCATTAAACTTCTCGTGGAGGAGAATAAGGCCTTCAGTTAAAACATCCATCTGCTGGGGAAGGCTGTCCACTTTGCCATAGATGTCTTCGACTTTCTGATCAACCTTGTTGAGCTTTTGTTGAATCACATCGTTCTGCTCCTGGAGGAACGCAGCTCTGTTCGCCATTTCACCAACAAGACCCCACGTATTGTTCAGCATGTCCTCAGCCCAACGCAAGGTTTCCACCACATCAGTCTGCCTGCTGCTCATATCATCAAGTCTTCTCCCCTGGGTCAGCACCAAGTGTTTAGTACTCCTGGTTTCAGTGGCTGCCTCAGTCATCTTAGCCAGAAACACCCTTTGATCTGCAATTAATTTCTGGATCTGGGCTAAGAGGGGATCACTTCTAGTAGCTGGAGAGGGCCTGGGTACCTGCAAAAACTCAGAATCAGAGTTAGTTTCCATGTCTGGTGCTTCCCTGTTTCCACTAGAGGCATGGGCTTCCTCATCTTCCACAGTGTAGGCACCCTTCTTCTCATTCTCAGCTTCAACACGAGCCATAGGGTCTGGAGAAGTGGCTGGAGAGTCATCAGCAAAGTCCACACCTTCTAGTTGAGTAGGCAGCCTTTCTCCAGTACTTTGTCTAATCTGAGCAACAGATTGACCTTCCGGGGATTGACTGCTCGGGCTGGCACTTTCCGGAGTAATCTGTTCTTCACTTTTCAGAGGGGCACCTTCCGGAGTTTCATTCAAATCACCTTCCGGAGTGTTGTGAGAACCACCTTCCAGAGGGACTTGCGTCTCACTTTCTGGAAGATCACCTTCGGGAGTCACCTCTCGAGGTTCACTTCTCTGTCCTGCACCCGAGGTAGAACCTGGACCTCCCATCTCCTGCTCAAATATGGAATGCTGCAGGGTCCTTCTCAACTCCTTCAACTGTGCCTTCTCTGCCTCCTGAGGATTTCGACTCTGCACCTCTTCCTCAGTAGCTTTTGATTTACCCTTTGCAGCCTCGTTTTCACTCATTTTCCTGCTGTATGCTTCTTCGGTGAGGCTCAATAGTGTGCCATCTGAAAGTTTAGAGATGTTGAGCCATCTCAAAGAGAACTCCTCCTCAGCCCTCATGTGATTCAATCCAGCCTGTAGGGTATCAATATCACCCATCCTCCATTGAATCCAGTTTTTCACTCTCATGTACTCTTCTAGCAGCCCCTCATCTACACTATCAGAGTCTCCACCTAACTCGATCCGAGCTACTATCTCATCATCCATGTCAGCATTTTCCCCCTCATTCTTAGCAGCCTTAGCCTTCTTGGCAGGTCTACTCTCCACCTCAACATCCTTAAAAGATTTCTTACTCTTTAAAGACTCAATCTTTTTCAACACAGTAGCTATAGGGACATTAGAGGAGCTCTCATGAGCTACAACCTTTTTCTTCTTACCCTTAGCTTTAGGAGGGGTGGCAGCTTGGCCTTTAGGGGTGGGGGGTTTGGTCCTACACAAATATGCATTTCTATGGACTGGGACCCCAGGCCTACGCTTAATGCCCTTAAGGCTCAATAAATACTGTACAAGGAAGCCATAACCAACCTTTTGACTCAATGATTTTGAATCACTATCTACTGCCTTCTCCACATACGCTCTGAGATGGTTGAAGATAATCTGGGGCCAATCGAGGGAGTAATTCGTCATAATTGCGCTCAGAGTGGCTAGCATATAAGCTGTAACATCGTCAGTCCCGGCCACTTTGTTCAACAGAATCCTGATCAGTATATCCATGGCTCGTTCATACTCTGGAATGAGGATTTTCTTCTTAAATGAGAGCTTGAGATTAGCAGGGGCTTTCTCAGATTTTATTTCTTCCCAGAATTTTTGCTGGTTGTAGGTGTATTGGGAGAGGTCAGGATGAGCTCCTTTAGGGATTGCGAAGTCGAATGCCGCCCTAATATCTCCCATGGCGGTCACGGTCTCCATATCTTGAACCTTCGAGTGGATTTCTTCTCCTACAATCCGAGCATTCATAAACCATTCTGTGGAATCAATCTTGTGGACAGTCAGGTAGTCGTGGGTGAGAAATTTCATCAGCCCACAGTCGCTGAACCTCTGCATAATTTTCTCTGCCAGTTCTTTGTCGGAGGCGTGTTGTATGAAACCATCTCGGTCGAGAATTGAGCCACTCTTGACCATGGAACTTAACTCCTCCAGAGTTGACTGTTCATCTTCGTTGGTGGGGTTTTCTTTGTTGGAAGCCATTAATGGAGAATTTTCAGACAGAGCTTTGGGAGAGAGACTGAGAGAGAGAGGAAAATGGGTTTTGGGTTTGGGTTTGGGTTTTATTTATTTATTTATTTTTTGGGTAAAAGTGGCGGGTTTGGTGGAGAATTTTGGTAAAGTATGAAAGAATTTGGATCGGGTTATGTGTAGGATTTGGGACATGACCCGGTTCCCACATTTAATTTGAGAGGGTAATGACAAGAATGGCATTTGAAAGAAATTTGGTTTGACTTATATAGAAGGGTATGTACTAGGTAGGTCTTAGATAGAGTTTTTTTGCACTTTTGGTCCCACGACTATAGTAGCACTAACAGAATTGATCCACGACTTTTGAACTTTGTAATTTTAGTCCACGACTATTGATTTTTTTGCAAAAATGATCCTTCCGGCCACTTTTCAGTTAAAATTCCACCGAAAATTTTTTTATCCATTTTTAACAGGGCTAAAATTGACATTTTACTTATCTCAAAAAATAAAAGAAAAAAATTGACATTTGACTACATACAATATTACTGGGCTACATACTACTACCCCAGGCGGCGGAGTTCCTGGAGTAGGTAAGACTGTCAGTAAGCGGCGGAGCGGCCGTGGCGTTCCCCGGGCTAATTGGGTTATCCGGCAGCAGCATTGGAGGCGGAGTTAGCACGCCTGCGGGAACATCCGAAGACATCGGAAAAGCTACGTTGTATAGATTTCCAGCGAGAGAAGCGGCAGAGATTCTCAAATGCAATCGCTTTTACCTTTCCGTTTTATGTATTTCCTTTATATTTTGAGATAAGTAAAATGTCAATTTTAGCCCTATTAAAAATGGATAAAAAAAATTTCGGTGGAATTTTGACGGAAAAGTGGCCGGAAGGACCATTTTTGCAAAAAATCAATAGCCGTGGACTAAAATTGCAAGATTCAAAAGTCGTGGATCAATTCTGCTAGTGCCACTATAGTCGTGGGACCAAAAGTGCAAAAAACTCGTCTTAGATAAGTACAGTCAAGTTTCAACATATTTGGAGAGAGAAGGTGATGAGTGAATAGCATTAAATAGGAGAGAATGCATTAAATATGATCAATGAAATTTTTGACCTAAATCACATTTTAGGATGAAATTTTATATTTTCGTGATGAAATTCATTTCGTAGTTTCAAAATTTTTGTATTTCATTTCGCGACGGAAGTAATTTGTTACAAGCGGTTGTTACGGAAAAGGCAATAGAATTTTTGGTCGTAATGTAGGTGACGGAAATCAATCTATTGTGATTCCGTCGCGATTTAGGCGACGAAAATGTTTCCTTCTGTTGTCATCACATGAGAAACATAACGTTACAAATCTCATATTATGTCTCCTATTTCCGTCTTGAAATATAATGATCGAAATAATTATCGTCGCGATTCCGTCGCTAAAATTTTTGTCGCAAATTTCATCTTTCGTCACAAAATTGGTGGCGTTTTGGGCAACAAAAATCTTTCCGTCACAAAATTCATCGCCATAATGATAACGGATATTATGTCGTTAAAATCACATTTCGTCGCGATTCTACTAAAGAATTTTTTTTTTTTTTAATATTTTGGTCATTATTATTATTTTGTTAAAATTCTAACGTTAGTATTTAAAATGTTAATATGCAATTATATTTATACACAAAATCACTATTAAAACTAAAATACAATATAATTTGTCAATTGTAATATAAAAGTAATATTACTTTATAGTTCAAAAAAGTTAATGTTGTACTTAATATCAATTAATGTCTAAACAACAATATAATAATCTATAAAAAGAAATTGACAAAGCAAGAGGCTACACATGTAAATTGATACTCCATATTAGTCATTAGACCCTTCATTTGCAGATAACCTCATCTTCTGTACTTGAGACAATATGCATATATCCATTACTATAAATAAGGATCAAATTATCCATGTACACTTTCAAATTTGATTGTAAGTGTTTAGAAAATCAAAAAGAGTTAATGGCACAAATTATGCCGTGGAAACGTGTTCACCATGCTTTGTGAACACGTTTCAAAACGGCGTCGTTTTTACAGAAAAAATAGTTAATGTGCTGTTAACGGCGTTTTGGATTCTATGTTCAGATTATGAATTTACATTTATTAAATTATGAATTTACAGTTATGTAATTATGAATTTTCTGTAAATTCATAATCTCATAACAGAAAATTCATAATTTCATAACAGAAAATTCATAATCTCATAAAAGAAAAACATTTATAAAATTATGAATTTTCTGTTATGAGATTATGAATTTACAGTTATGTAATTATGAATTTTCTGTAAATTCATAATCTCATAACTGAAAATTCATAATCTCAAAACAGAAAATTCATAAACTCATAAAAGAAAATTCATAATTTCATAAGTGCACATTCATAAATTCATGCCTGCACATTCATAATTTATGAGTGTTAAAGAAGCTTGCGCAAAGAGAAAGTGAAACCGCGAAATGTGAAAATGAAGAATAAAAGTCGCGCTGTTAATTAAAAAAAAAAAAGATTGGTGGAAGATAATGGTGCATAACGATTGGGTTAATGGTAGCACTTAAGACAAAGTAAACTTCAGATACCAAATAACCCACTCTGTCCCATGATGCTTTATCGACATGAACTAATTCTTGTCGATATTACATCACAATAAGAACTCAAGGGACATAGAGAATACACACATAGAAAATTCAGATTGAAGTAAACAATAATTGATGGATTTAATTAACCTGGGGTGACCCAAATTACTAAACCCGGATAAGAACGTAAACAGTAAAGGACAAAACGATGTCGTTGCAAGGTTGCGGGGACCGTATATTGTATTAAATATCGCCAATAAACTATTACAAGGCTTGATTAGGATAGGAGTAATGAAAGTAGTGAACGTCCCTCAATTGGACAAAGGAGGTGCCTTTTATACAAGCCACGTGCCTCCTAACTACCCGCCTAACTCGCACTACAAGAAAAATCACAAATCGCAACCGAAACATCGCGACAGAATGTAATCCGTTGTCAATTCGCGATGATTTTGCGACGGAACATGTTTTGTCGCGATTTTGCGTTGGAAATGGTGACGGAATTCAATTCCTTAACAATTTTTTGCGCAAAGTGAGAAAAAAAATGGGAAAAATTTGGCGCCAACATTTCAGTGACGGATTTTGCGACGGAATTAAGTTATGTCACCACAATGGCGACGGAAAAGGCAACGATTGATGCTTCCGTTGCGGTTTTGCGACAGAATTGGCGACGAGAATAAGTTCCGTTGCGATATTTGGCGCAAAGTGAAAAATATTCCTGCACAATCTTTGCACCAATGAATTGACGACGGAGGCTAACGATGGAAATTGCGACGGGTATTTTTTCCGTCGTGAAAATATTTCATTTTTGAAGTATAGTTTATTTTTGCTACAGAATGGGACAACGAAATCAATTCCGTCGCCAATATGTTAACACATTGGCGACAGAAAATGCGACACCCTACATCTCCGTCGTGCAATGACGATGAAATCGGCAACGGAAATTAATTTTGTTGCGATGTTTGGCGCAATGGTAAATTTGACGTTTGAGGTTGGGGACGGAACTTGCGACGATCATTGTTTCCGTCGCTAAAATGTTTAATTTTTTAAGTAAAGGTTTTTTTTTTTTTTTTTTTTTTTTTTTTCTGATACAAAATAAAATAAATTATCATTTATATTCTTCCGTATAATTGCTATAGTAATTTGATGGTAATCTCTATTCATATATTTTTTATACTGAAGGTGTAAAAGTATAATTACACAATATTAATATAAGTACCTAATAATTATGATGATAATTAAGGAATTAATTACACATATATTAGTATAATTAACTAATAATTATTATGTTAATTAATTAAGCTAATAATTTTAGAAATATTAGTATAATTACAATTAAACATGGGTTGTTGAATTTTTTTATAATTACAATTTTTAACTTAAGGTATAATAGTATAATTGCAAAATATTAGTATATTTACTTATTAATTATTTTGGTAATCAAGAAATTAATTGAATAGATATTATTATAATTAAGTAAAAAAGATTATGGTAATTAAACTAATAATTGCATAATAATAATATAAATACAATTAAGCATGTGTCGTATTTTTTTATAATTATTACAATTATTTTTTAATATATATATATATATATATATATATATATATATATATATATTGAATGTATAAATGTATAATTGCACAATATTAGTATAATTACTTTATAATTATTATGATAATTAAGGAATTAATTTCACAAATATTAGTATAATTGACCAATAATTATTATGTTTTTTAAGCTAATAATTACACAAATATCAGTATATTACAATTAAACATGGGCGTTGGAATTTTTTTTTTATCATAATTACAAATCATTCATCTAGATATGTAGATGAGGAAAAAAGTAAAGGTGATATAGTGAAAAGAAATATACTTAAAGAATAAAAGTATAATTGCACAGATATTATTAGTATAATTGTCAAATAATAATTGCCTAGTAATTATTATGGAAATTAAGCAAAACATGTGTGGTTGAATTTATTTTTGTAAAATTACAATTGAATTATTCTATTTTTTGCCATATTTATTTTAGTAAATAATATAATTTTATAAATCATATTTCATATTTTTTTTTTTTTAGATAATTGCTGACAAATGAGTCATATATTATTCAATTAATTGAGTGATAATTTTGCACTAATTTTATAATAAAATAAATGTATATTTTCTAATATTAGAATTGTTTATAATTTCATCTTTAAATTTATTTATTATCTAAATATATAACAAAAAATTTTATCTGTGTAATTGTACAATTATTTGCTCTTATTCAAGCAAGGATAACATTAGAAACGATAGCCATTTTATCAATTGCACTATATACTATTTATTTTTATAATTTTTATTATTGTATATTAATCCAAGTGTTTTTAAAATATTATAACAAATGCATTTCGTCCTACGGGTAAAAGTAGTAGTTAAAATTCAATTATAAAATCTCTAATCTCTATCTCTAATACCTAAAAGACTAATGTCCTAAATCTTATTTTCTGTTGTAAATAAATGTGATATTATGACCATTGTTGTGTATTTATTTATGGTATCTTTTCTTATTCAGATTTCTCATTATGTACGGTTATCTAATGAGGATGTGGCTTAAGCAGTTTTCTGTATTCTCTGAGTTTCTTCTTCCCTTTCGTTTATGGTTCTGAACCTAAAATTGATACAAGAATACACCAAAATTACAATGCCGCCGCTACACGACAGTCCTGTGGTCGACGAATCCAAGCTCTCCCCTGTGATTCTGCAACGTATTGTTGTCCCCTGCCGACGACGAAGCAAGCAGAGGCCAAGACCGCCACCGCCGCATCCTGTCCTCTCCTGCCGACGACGAAGCAAGCATAATTAGGTATTTCTTTGATCCAAATCTTTGGTATTCCTAATTTCATAATTGCAAACGACATCGATGAGTTAGTCTTCACCGGAACTTCTATCATGGGAGTCAACCTAGAAACAAATAAATGTATCAAACACGTTGTAAGAATCTTACTATACCCTTCATAAAAAACAAAAAAAAAAAAAAAATTCAAGATTGACCTGATAAATCACTGTTAAGTTTTTATTTTTATTTTAATTGTTTTTTTCTCAATATTGTAGCCTTGTATGATTACGGGGATTCAATTGTGAGCAGTGAATTTTTTTCTATAGAAAGTTTATTCAATGTAATACAATCATCCTAGCTTGTCAATGTTATAATTTAATATATGTGTTCATCTTTGGTAATATGAAGTGTGGCTTGAGCAGTTGCGGTTTTACAAGACCCCATACTTGGAATTCGGAAACACCTTATCAAATCCTAAAAAGAACTACAAGTTATCAGGTTAGGTTTGTAGATCTTGCTTGGAATTTCTAACTAAAAGCAGAAAGTTGTTAACTTTTTCTATCTGCAGTAGTTAAACTTACCATATAGTTTTAGGCTTAGGCTTGTAAAACAAGGAGTAGAGTTTGTGATTATGATTATGTGTTGCCATTTTCTTGACAAAGGGGATTATATTATCACACGAGTTATGAATCTTCCAGCATTTATTCAGCTAGTCATTCTAGTGCAAGTGATTGGGTATGGATTTTGTTTCTCTTTCTTTTCTTATTTAAATTTAAGTCTGTTCCTATGGTTTTATTTGCCATTATAGCTAGATGGGTACGTGGCCAGGAAGATGATGATAAATTCTGCGGTTGGTTCCTACCTTGATCCACTTGCTAAGTACTGACAAGGTAATAATGGAATTCCTTGCATCAGTTATTTCCACTTTGTCAATTTGGCTCATCAATTATACTATACTTCTATATGAAACTCCTATTGTATGTTTCAGTGATGCAGTAGAGAAAGTTATAAGAGTAACGATGCATGATGTTTGTCATCTTTTTAAGTTTAGTAGTTACAAGTGTGGAATAATTTATTATATTATAATAGTTCATTGATGTTTAATATCTTCTATTTCTTTGTATCTTGTTCTTTAAACTTTTAGGTGCTCAATTTAGACTTACACCCTGCAATCATAATAATATTTGCAGTTTGAATTTTCTGGAGCTTATGAGTAAAATGCACTATGATTTATCTAAATTTTTGTAGGAGAAAGTTGCATTGTAACGGGAGGTATTAACACAAAATGGAAAGGAAGTAGATGAGAGTCAATCATACTATGATGCGGTTGGCGGGCATGATAATAAAAGAAGAGTTTATGGACTTGACTCATATAGCAGCTTCGTTCGTCGTCCAATAAATGCTAATACACCATACAATATAGCATCAATATTGCAGCCATTAGACAATGTTAATTCCGCAAAGATACAAGATGAGATTGAGAATTTGAAGGCTTCTGCTTCTTATGCATCAAAGATTAGATGCTCTTGAGAGTTGAGAGTGAGAGAGCTTGTACTTCATCATCATCCTTATCATAAACGGATTAAACTTAATATTGCTTCTTTTCTTTATGAATTATTATGTTGTTGTTGTTTAGACATAGATTTGGTATTAAGTATAACATTCAATTTGTTTTTTTTTTTTTAAACTATAAAGTAGTATTACTTTTATATTACAAATTATATTGTATTTTAATTTTAATAGTGTTTTTATTTATAAATATAATTGTATATTAATATTTTAAATACAAAATTTTAACAAACTTTGTAACAGAATATCTATTGATGAAGACGTGACAAAAATTTGTTCCGTCCTTTTATTACGATGGAATTTTAAGACGGAATATGAAATTTGTTACGGAAAGATTAGCGATGAAATCACGACAACAATTATTTTCGTCGTTATATTTCCCGACAGCAATAGGCGACGGAATATGAGTTTCACGATGGAATATTTTTCACGCGATGGCGATGGAAGGAAACATATCCATTGCCAAAACCGCGACGAACTCGCGATAGAATGATATCTGTTACCAAATTTGCGACAGGAAATTCCGTTGCTGTTTTCCGTCGCTAATGCTTGCGACGAATTATTTTCGTTGCAAAATGAAATACGACAAGCCTGGAGACTACGAAATGAATTCTGTCACAAAAATACAAAATTTCGTCGCAAAACGTGATTCACGACGGAATTTCACGTTTTCTCCGTCGCGAATCGCGATTTTTCTTGTAGTGTCGGGAGGACGGTTGTCCCTCGCTTTGACCGCGCCCGATCCGGAGACCAGGCAACGCGGCAGAGGTCGGCTGTCGACCTCTTGCCGAGGTCTCGCGCCGAGGTCCTCTGCCGACCTCCTGTCGAGGTCTCGCGCCGAGGTCCTCTGCCGACCTCCTACTGAGCCCCCGCGCCGAGGCCTCGTGTCGAGGCAGCTGCTGAGGTCTCATGGCAAGGCCATGAGACCTCACGCCGAGGCGCTCACCGGGGCCTCGTGTCGAGGCGGACGGATCAGGCACGTAACGTCGCCCCGGGGCCTCGTTCTTGCTCAGTGTTCTCAAGTCGGTTCGGCTCCATTCGTAATATATACATCAATAATACTTAACATAAAAATTTACTTATATTGAAATATTTTTTAAATAATAGTATATAATTTTTTAAAATAAATTCATAATTTAAAATTCATATTATATTAAAAGTATAGTTGATAATTTAGGTAATTATTATTTTTTTGAAAAGGAACGATGCAATGCTATTAACTGGAAATAATAATAGAAATACACCTTAGAGGGATGGAGACCCACTACCTCAAACCAGCATAAGAACCTGAGTTTCTTGCTAACATATGAGCAATTTGATTTGCTAATCAACTAACATGGCGAACTAACACCTTCTCAATAGAAGAAATAATGCTCTTACAATGATTTCTAACAAAGCATGTATAAGAGTAATCAACCGAAGCTTTATGGAAGTCTGAGTGAAAGTTGAGGTAGTCCAACTCTAAGATTATGTTTTTAAAGTAAATACTAGTATTTTCGTCTGTGCAACGCACGGGATGAATTTGTTATAACATTTTAAAAATATTTAGATCGATATACAATTGTATAACATCGAATATTATATAATATAATTGAAGAATTGAGTTGAACCGATTATGTTTTCTGATGTTATCATTGCTTGAATTCAAGCAAATAATTGTCCAATTAATAGCTAACGTGTAGATATACGCATTTGGTGCTGCAACTTTAGAGATTTTATATATCAGTGTTTAGGATTTGTATTAATTGGGTTAATTAGCTCGTTGTCTAGCAACCCAGTTATAGAAATTATTTATACGGAAGATATATTTTCTATGTAGATATATAGCAATTTTGTCATCTTTGTATATAAAAAAACATAATATCACTGGCTTGATATAATGTCACCCATCCATTCTCGTATAGAGCTAAAACCATCAGACCATCAGGATGGGTGACTCGGGAAAAAAGCCACATACAATTAACCGTGATTAAAGATTAATTTTTTTTCAGTAATAACTCAACGTGAGTTAGTGTTTGACCCTGACTTTTGTTGATAGTCATGGCATATGCGAGCATCAACATTAATTGTTTTCGTTAGAACTTGAAGGGCAATCTCGTATCAAAATGGTGAAAGACATTTTAATTGAAGATTTTACTTTTATTAATAGTATATATATAGATTGGTGTAAATAATAATTAATAAATTATTATTTCCTTATAAAATTACATAGAATTTTAAATGGATTTTCCCATTTATTACACAAAATTTGTTTCTGTTATTCTCACAATTATAATGGTTTAATTATTCTCAGAATTTGATAACCATTTTCCATTTTTAAGTACATATTAACTTTAATTTGTGATAAAAATTCATTAGATATTAGTTAATTTTCATATAAGGGTGTTTTTGGAAACCCGGAAAATGACTTCTGGAAAATATTTTCCGAGTTTTCAGTGTTTTCAGAGTTTTCAGTGTTTCGGGTTTCATATAAAATTTTGTTACCACTTAAGCTTTATTAATTTTTTTTACCAATTAATTAATATTCATATTAATTTGGGCGGAAATGTGGAAGAGGAGGATTTTACTTTTATTAATAGCGTAAATTGGCGTAAATAATAATTAATAAATTATCATTTCTTTATAAAATTACGCAGAATTTCAAACGAATTTTCTTATTTATTACGCAGAATTTGTGTTCATTATTTTCACAAAAATATAATAATTTAATTATTCTCAAAATTTGGTAACCATTTTCTATTTTATGTACGTATTGATTTTAATCTGTGGTAACAATTAATTAGATATTAGTTAATTCATATAAAATTTTTGTTACCGATTAAGCTTTATTAATTTTTTACTAACTAATTAATATTCATATTAATTTGGACTAGAATGTTGTAAAGGAGGATTTTACTTTTATTAATATATTATAGATAGTTATTTATTTTTTCTTTAATTATTCTCATTGTAAACATAAATGATATTGCAATAATTAATTTATTATTTTGTTTTTCTTTAGGAGGGAGGGGGGACACCCCACGAAAACACATCAAACTCAATTCCCAGGAGGACCTCTAGGGACACGTCGTGTGACGTTAACTCCGAGCTTGTCGAGGCGAACAACATCGCATAACTCACTTGGAACGTCAAAAAAGGACCCGCACACCTAGCTGGTGATTCAACGCTGCCGTAGCCAGTTTATCCGCCACCACATTTCCTTCTCTGAGCGTATGCTTGAAAACCACCTCCGGGATTTTCTTCGACTCCTGCCAGCATCGACCAATCACATTGGTGGTGAGAGATGGTCAGAGTTTCCTTGGCAAAGAATCTCCACAAGTCTCTTAGAGTCACATTCAACGATCAGCTTTGTCACGTCGTACTCCGTTGCCATGCATAGGCCTTGCCATACTCCCCAAGCTTCCGCGTTAATCGCCTTGCATTGCCGAAGGTTGGAAGAGAACCCTCGGTACCACGTTCCATTTGAGTCTCTGAGCAGCCCACCGCAACCGGCCATGCCGTTCGCCTTACTGCATCCATCGATATTAAGCTTTAGCCACCCTGCGTCCGGCTTCGTCCATCCCACTTGGCCATCGGTGCGAGTAGCATGCCCCCTGGTCGGGTTCACCCGCTTAGCGAAAGCAGCTTTAGTTTCACTATCACACTGCGCAAGCCAAACTGACTTTTGCCTCACGTCCATCGTTTGCGATCTGAAGACCTCAGCATTCCGCCAACGCCAAAGCCACCACAGTCGAGTGCAAAATCGCTTTGGCCAGTCGGGCGGAAATCCTCAGCTCAACTCGCCTTTAAGATTCGTCTCCAACCATTCGCTCCAGCTGAGTGATTGAAGCCTGTCAAAGGTGCGCCAGTGCAAATCGGTTTCCCAGACACTTGTCGCTGCCGGGCAGAAGCGAAAGAGGTGGTCCAGGTCTTCTAACTTTCCTGCACAACGAAAACAAAACTTGTCAATTGTTAGATGTCGTCTAACTCGTTCAGCGTTGGTGAGGATGCGCCCATGGTGCACCAACCAAAGAAACATGGTGATTCTAGCCGGGACCCGTAGACGCCACAGGTTGCGCCAATACCCCTCCGTGTTCGTCTCAGGATTATTTACTATCATCTTATACGCTGTTCGGATTGAAAAACGTCCATCATCTTCAAAACTCCATCCGACCCTGTCCGGACTGCAGTCCTCCGCCAGGACAACACTCACCAAACGTTGTGATAGGAATATTTTTGTAAGTTTTGATGAGCCAAATGTATCTTTAGATCCCCTTAGTTTTTAAGTCTTTAGTACAAGCATCATAAATCAGAATATTGAAATCAGAAGGAATCTACCATAGGAAGAACAAAATTAATTTGAGAAATTAATTTTGGTCCTACGAGTATTCATCCGTGAAAGAAGCATAAAGAAATGGCGTTGCAAGGAATGATCGGATGAGCCTAACGGCGAAATGGTAGAGGTCCTTACTCTAAACGATCACACCCGAGATCGATTCCCCCCAAGGACCTATGTTTTATATACGGCAGATTTTAAAAGAGCACAATGTGTGCTAAAGGAGCACAATGTGACCAAATCTGAAAGAAGCACAATGTTGTCTAAGAAGCACAATGCTGTCAGAAGAGCACAATGCTACCTAAGAAGCACAATGCTGTCAGAAGAGCACAATGCCACCTAAGAAGCACAATGTTGTCTAAGAAGCACAATGTTGTCAGAAGAGCACAATGTATCGAAAGAAGCACAATGTTCAAAGTCAAGGAGCACGATGTTCAAGTCAAAGGAGCACAATGTGGCAAAAGAGCAAGATGATCAGAAATTGGATAAATTCGAAGGAATTTACTCCAAGTCCACCCACATGCCACAAGACTCCAAAATTGCCTGAAAGACATTTGATCAGAACGGAAAAATATTTATGAAGGCATGAATATAAAAACTTATCCTAGAAATAAATTCTATCAGATGAATTTATTTCAAAGATTCGTTGGATATTCAAATTGACAATTAAAGTAATATTTTTAGAAACAACTAGAAAATCAAAGTTGTGCTAAAGAATTACTTTGTCAGGCAAGTTGACAA